TCGCTTTGTTTTATTCAATATGGATTGGAAGAGAAAAAAGAAAAGGCTACTTGCCATATAGCATTAACAGCTTCCCCCAACCTTTTTTCAACTTAGAATTTATTCAGTTCTCGTGGAAAGTAAAAAATAAAAAATTCTATAGAACATTTCAGAAAACAGAAAGCTGAGTTCTCAGTATCAGAAAAAATGATTTTAAGCATGAGATTGTAAATAGCTGCTTCAATTGGTCCAAGAACTCAAAATATCCAAATCATCACAGCCTCTCAAAACACCTGCCAAAATGTGTACCCTGGGATTGGTGTTATGGTTCAGTGGGTTAGACTGCTGCCTGGGACATCTGCATTCCACACTGGAGAGCCTGGCTTGAGTCCCAGCTACTCCACACTTGAGATCCAAGTTTTTGCTAATGCACCCAGGAAGGCGGCACCCAGGAAGGACGGCCCAAGTCGTTTGAGTTCTTGTCACTCATATCCCACACTGGGATGGAGCTCCTGTTCCTGGCTGTGATCTGGCCTAGTCCCACCTATTACACTGAACCAACAGACAGAAGATCTGTCACTGTGCCTTTCAAGTCAATCAATCAATCAAAAATTTCCAAGATACTCAAGCTTACATTTAAACCTGAATGCTGAAGAAAGAGTGAGGCTTAATAAGGAAGTCATGCTATTAAGACAAATTAAATCAACTCTCCAAGCTAAACTACAACTGTACTGTATCTAAATTCATCTAATTTTGTACGTAAGGCATAACAGTTCTGTCTTTTTAGCACTAGTAAGCTCATTCTCCTACCAAAAAATATTTATTTTCATTCACTGTTTTTTTGTATCCTGACTCAGGTCACAAAGAATGTTTTCTGACTGAAAAAGTAACATGAAGAGAGGACATGAACTGTTTCAACTGTCTCCTCTAGAGAAAATTCCAGCACATCTGCTGCTGGGTTCACAAAGGTTTAACATTGAAATCCTGTTAGATGGTCACTTTGGACAGCCCTGTCACATATATGGCACTTCACTAAGGTTCACTCCTGAGGCAGTGATCACTTCACAAGCAGCAACCTCCTTTTCGAAGCTGGAAATGGGCCTCCAACTACAGTTTTAATTTCTTTCCTCCATTTTTTCAAAATATATCAGCTTTGTGGTACTTTGCATTTGTCCCTGGTTGTCGCATCTAGTCCCTGGTTTGGCCAAAACCAAATCCTTGCTGCAGTGCAGGGACATAGAGAAGGTTCCTGTTGGCTACACAGAGCATCGCTGAGGGGAGAGGATGAGGTGGACTACGGACACACAGGTGGTGGACACGAGTGGACATTTAATGACGTGCAGCGTGAACAGGGAAGCATGAAAGATGAAGGAGGAAGATGAGAAAACCAGAGCTCGCATGATGAGTGGAATGGATGAGGTTGTAGCTCGAAAGGCAGAAGGTGCCTGACTCGATGACCACGGCCCAAACCCCCGAGGCCTTGTCGGGATTTCAGTTTCTGTGGGAACGACGGCTGAAATACCACAGAAAAGGGCGAGTTCACACACCTACACGGAGGGGACAGCTATGCCCCGTGGACGCTGCAGCGGCCTGGCTCTAGGCGCGAATCTCCTCACCCACCTCTCTGGTTAAAGCTGTGGCTGAACCCTAAAAGCCAGCACCGGCAAGGTTCTTCTCCTTCAGAGTCAGCCCAGGGCACGCAGGGCCGGACCAGGAGGGGCTGTCCTCTGGCGGCTTCGGGCCATGTTGGGGACAGAAGCGGACAGGTCCAGGAAGGAGAAACAGGCGCGGATCAGGGCTTTTCTCCTCGGGATTGAGGCGGGAACGTCAGGAAGCAAACCGGGAATTTCTCAGCGGGAGAGCCGTGGCAACACTCACGGTCTCTCTGCACCTCAGCAGCCAGGGAACCCGAGCGTCATAGCAACCGTGCTCAGGGCGGAGACGCTAAGGCGTCCTTCCGGCTGGAGCCACAGATAAGAGGCCTGCCATTGGCCCCGAGGACTGTTCTTCCTGTGGAGACCGTGGCTCCGATGCACGCCATTGGCCTTCAGGCCGTGGGGGAGGAGCTGAGGTGAAGGCTCTTTCCGTTGCCTTTGGAGAGCAGTAGCCATAGCAACGTTATGAAGCGCGTCGGTGGCTGAGTGGGACTCTTTGTCACAGGGTGTTCCAGTTCTCCAACACAAAGGGACTTCAAAAAGTTTGTGCAAAGGGAATGAAAAGTTCATTTTGGTGCAGAATTTTGTTGTTCTTTTTTTCCCCCCAAATCCATGGAAAATGATTTTTTGAAATGAAAAAAGGCGTGCATTAAAAATTGCAGCAAATGGGCCCGACAGCATGGCCTAGCGGCTAAAGTCCTCGCCTTGAACCGGCGCCAGGATCCCATATGGGCGCCGGTTCTAATTCTGGCAGCTCCACTTCCCATCCAGCTCCCTGCCTGTGGCCTGGGAAAGCAGTCAAGGATGGCCCAAAGCTTTGGGACCCTGCACCCACGTGGGAGACCTGGAGGAGGTTCCTGGCTCCTGGCTTTGGATGGGCATAGCACCACGGCCGTTGCGGTCACTTGGGGAGTGAATCATCAGATGGAGGATCTTTCCTTCTCCTGTATATCCACTGTCTCTCCTCCTCTCTGTATATCTGACTTTCTAATAAATAAATAAATCTTTAAAAAAATAAAAAATGCAGCAAAATAAGTTTCTAATTTTATTTTTACTAACTTTTCAAAGAGCCTCAGTAGGTTATAAAGGCCTCATCTAAGCACTGGCCTACCTGTGAACCTTATCTTTATTATTCTGTTATTGATTCTTAAAGGAGCAGGCATGTTAGATCAGGACTTCAGAATTTTAGGCCTGGATCTGTTCGTGCCACTAGGGTTACACGACACTTCTGGACTCATTATTCTAAAACCGAAGAACTTTGACATGAGCCAATTACACCAAAGGCTGAATATCTTTGCAAATTCTGTTCACTGACACTTCAGTTTAGCTACATTTTTTGGGTCCTGTGTAAATAATGCAAAATAAAATAATTCTGAGCAACACGGATTTTGACTTAGGCTTAGTTTGCCAAGATGTTAAATTTGCACGATTCTAGTTATCAAAACTTACATTTTACTGGTATTCCAAACACCACTTACACTTTTTGGTCTTAGTCTAGTTCCCCAAGAGGACACTTTCCAAACCTTTGCTGGGTCTACCTGTGTTCCCTGGCTGGATTATTTATTATTATTATTTTTAAGATTTAGTTTGTTTTTATTGCAAAGTCAGATATCCAGAGAGGAGGAGAGACAGAGAGGAAGATCTTCAGTCTGATGATTCACTCTCCAAGTGAGCACAACGGCCAATGCTGTGGCCATCCAAAGCCAGGAGCCAGGAACTTCCTCCAGGTCTCCCAAATGGGTGCAGGGTCCCAAGGCTTTGGGCCGTCCACAACTGCTTTCCCAGGCCACAAGCAGGGAGCTGCAAGGGAAGTGGAGCTGCTGGGATTAGAACCGGTGCCCATATGGGATCCCAGGCGTGCAAGGCAAGAACCTTAACCACTACACTGTTGTGCCGGGCCTGCCCGGCTGGATCTTATTACCTCTTACTTTGGTATTTCGGCTTCTCCCTCTGTCACCACAGCTCTCCTAAGTGTTTTTTCTTGGCCGCTAAATTCTCCAGCCCCCTCTAAGCCCACTTAGGCCCTATCAGGCTAGACTTCATCTCAGGAAAACAGAGAGATCTTTTACCTGCCAATTTCATTCCCCCAATACCTGTGCCTGAAATAATCAGGACTGGTGCCCGATGTGTGCGGCAGGAACCCAAGTGCTCAAGCCATCACTACTGTCCCCAGGATGCAGGAACCTAGATCAGAAATGCAGCCAAGACTTAAGACTCATTCTGATTTAAGATGCAGATGTCTGGGCCTGGTGGAGTGGCCTATCAGGTAAAGTCCTTGCCTTGAATGTGCAGGGATCCCATATGGGTGCCGGTTCTAATCCCGGCAGCTCTACTTCCCATCCAGCTCCCTGCTTGTGGCCTGGGAAAGCAGTCAAGGACGGCCCAATGCTTTGGGGCCCTACACCCGTGTGGGAGACCCAGGAGAAGTTCCTGGCTTCTGGCTCCGGATCGGCGTAGCACCGGTCATTGCGCTCACTTGGGGAGTGAATCATCGGACGGAAGTTCTTCCTCTCTATCTTTCCTCCTCTCTGTATATCTGACTTTGTAAGAAAAATAAATAGATCTTTAAAAAATAAATAAATGAATTTCAGCCTTTGAATATTAAAAAAAAAAAAAGATGCAGATGTCTGAAGTGGCAACCACTGCCTCAAAAGCTCACCCCCATAATTGCCATGTTACAGATGAGGAAACTGAATACATTACCTACCTGTTTGTTTATTTTTATTATTATTTTATAAAACTAATAGGTGGCAAGGATAGCTAAACTGATTCTACACAGATAATTCTTTACAATGCTGGTTGACCCTCAGCATGGTCCCAGCTGGAAGATCATGCTAAACTGACTTCAAGAGTAGTTCCCAAAATATTTGAAAGGTGGGCCCAGCACTATACCTTCGTGTCTAAAATCCTTGCTTTGCATCTGCTGGGATCCCATATAGACATCAAGTCGTATCCCGGCTGTCTCACTTCCCATCCAGCTCCCTGTCTGTGGCCTGAAAAAGCAGGCGAGGACAGCCTGAGGCCTTGGGACCCTGCACCCACATGGGAGATGCGGAAGCTCCTGGCTCCTGGCTTTGGACAGGCTCAGCTCCAGCTGCTGTGGCCATTTGAGTGAATCAGTGGATGGAAGATCTTTATCTCTCCTCCTCTCTATATATTTGCCTTTCCAATAAAAAAAAAAAAATAAAGCTTTAAAGAATATATATATGGTAAACTGTTCATCAAATATGGAATGAATACAGGACAAGAAGTGAGCCATAACTGGAGGAAAACTCACCATTGTGCAGGACCCAACTTCGGGGAGGTCTGCTTCTTCCCGCGTTCCACCTCTGACTTCCAAAAACAATATCCCTTCCATTCAGGAGGCTTTCAGGCACAGACTTTATTGCACATAATTTTTTATACATCCATTTCTCAAACAAGACATGTTTGCTCATCTTTTTAATCACCAAAGCTCAACACAGGGCCTGGCAATAGTAGGCACTCAACAATTACTTGATCTTCAAGGCATGACCATTCATGCACCCATAATCCCCTTTTTCTGGTATGGAAAAGCTGACATTCAGGCCTCCATGTACATTCTGAGGAGTACTGAATTCCTGTATGCTCTTTTTTTAAAGGTGAGATATAGCTCTAGTGTTCAATTTCAAAGTCAAGAAGAAACTCAGCTGAGCGTGGCAGGTAGTTCCATCACTAAAGACAAACAGCAAGTCCTACTGGCCTGCACACTGCCACTTTTCCCCTTTCTTTTGTTTTCCCTGTCCTCATTTATTCTGGTTCTCACCCTCTGTGAGAGCCCTGGTCCACTGAACACCTTTTCATCCTCTAAGGGCTTTTTCCTTCAGTTTTTCTCACTTATAAAAGCTGTGTGTCGAGCCTGAAGGTTATCCACTATCTTCTGTTCTATCGCTATGCCTTTTTCTACTTCTTCCTCTGATAGCAACAATTTGGTTTCTGAGTCTTTGGTTACAATAACCACAAAGGACTGTAGTGACTCAAGGATATTAGCCACCACCACTTGATGCCGGTAAACTTCCAAAGCGTTCCGAGCACGATTAATTACGATGGAGGGGTCAGTCTCCAACTTAAAGGAAATAATAAATGCTTTGGGAGCCCAATCTTTAACCAAAGGAGAAAGCATTTTTGGCACCATCTTCATTGTTATCTGTATCAAAAAAAGAAAAGCTTAATAAGCAAACTGGTCACTACCTACCAGGAAACCAAGGATTCCAGGACTTTGATTTTTACTGATATAAATTTAAGTGAAGTTTCCAACTATCAAACTTTTCAAAGCACATTAAATATTTAGTTTGAAAGCCTTTTGGCAAGTCCTATTCTGCCACTCATCACTATTCACAGAACTCTAAAGAACAACAAGCTATGATCAAACATTCCCCTCCAGTTTTTAAACAAAACCTTCAAAGAAACACAAATAATCAGCTTGTGCAAATGCTACTCTGGCAGAAAACCAATGAAGTTGGGTTATTTAACCTCTCAGCATAAAACATCGCTTGTACTGGTAGCATTCAAGATTCAGCAGCAAGGAAGCAACTGATTTTCTTTATTGTCCCTAGATTTCAACTCCTACCACCTGCTTCCCAATCCCATCTTTCTACTTTTCAAGACTTCAATCCCATTTCTACTTTCAAGACAGGACTAAGAAAATAACAGCTGAAATAAAAAAAAGATGGTAAAGTTTACAGAGCTTAAAATCACGGATCCTTAGAATTTTCCCCAAGAAAAGGTTGTCAGCAAGTGATCAGGATTCTATAGCTTTCTTTTTCTCTTTATCACAAGTAGTGATATATTTGTCTTATGGCCTTCCTAGTGAGTATAAACAGTGACTGGCCTATAAGAGATGTCCAGTAAATGCTGAAGAAATGACCACGTGAACCATAATATTACAAAGCTGGCAAGTGCTGCTTCTATTTAAATTCTATTGCTATCACCCAAAGGAATGGATGAAAAATACCCTTGAGTTCCAAGACACCAGACTGCCTCAATACCTCAGGTGTACCACTACCTTCCCCTTAAACTATACAAACCTGCAACTATAACTCTCCTACTCTCTTGCTAACTCACCGCTCATACCAATGCCAGAATGTTCTCAGAGACTCTCTTATTCCCCTCCTTAGGGGCTCCAGAGCTCCACGGTTCAAGGCCAAGCCCATGGTGAAGCCAGCAATCTCTTCCACCTGCTGGTCACCTTTCGGTTCTCAGCACAAGCTCCAACGATGTAAACCCACTTGGAATGACCCTCCCCACTTTGTGATAAACCCTCCACACTTCCCTTAAACCCAGTTCAAGAATGCCGTCCTGGGGCACCCAATGGCCTGACTGCACCCAGTACACATCTGCGCTGTGCTCATCACGTCTGCCTCCAGCTCTCTCACTACACTGTGAGGCCTCGGGGGCGTCTCTGCTCCTCTCTGTAGCCCCACTGCCTAGAGCCTAAAGAACGCGGAAAGACCATCTCGAGATCAAGAGGAAATTAACCCCAGATTGGTTATGGGGGGAGGGTCAGAGCTCGGGAAGAGAAGCGCCCATCACCTGCAGTGGGCCCCCCGATGACTGGATCTTGTGCTCAGGCATTTCATTGACGGGAACATAGAAATCGGACACGGCCGCAGCCAGGTAAAACATCGCAGAGGAGCCTGCAAAAGGAAGCAGAAGCGATGACATCTCGGGGAGGGTTATGGGATACGCTCCTTTTGGACCCCCTGGGAGGTAAGGGTGGAGGTTCTGATTCCCTGCAACCGACGAACTCAGAGAGCACGCACCTAGCGGGTTGAGCGCCTGGGCTGCCGCCTGCAGCAGATGCAAATAGTCCGCCAAAGTGGTGAACTCCACCGCCAGAAAGGTGCCGGCAGCCTCTGCCTCCTGGTAGCTCTGCAGAGCCGCGGCGAAGCCCGGCAGCGCCTTCTCCTCGGCTTCCAGACTCAGCAAGCCCGAATGCGCCGGGCCCGAGGGCCGCAGGGCCGACAGCCAGGTCTGGGGCGGGAAGCGGTGGGCAAAGGGGAAGGCGGAGCGGGCGCGGTACAGGAACAGGACCCCATAGCCCGCAGCCAGGAAGGCCTCGGCCGAGGTGGCACCGCGCCTCCCGCTGCTGAAGTTATCCAAAAAGCGTACTGGTCGTGCTTCCAACGGGACCTTGGTGCCGCCTGACGTGACCAACACCACCCGCCGGCCCTGGGCGCCCAGCCTGGCCGCGAAGCGGGCCATAACCTCGGCCCAGCGCGCAGCACCGGCAGGCCGGGGGAACTCGGCGGCCAAGTCCCTTTCCGCCATCAGTCTCGAAGGGCCTCTGCGCCTGCGCACGCCCCGGGCCGCTGGCACCACGCCCCTCGCCGAGCCCACGCGCAGGCGCAACATGAGTGGGCGTGTGGCTGCCCGGTTGGGCGTCTGGTCTGAGTTTCGCCTGTCTGGGAGTGTGTGGAGGCTGCGTCCCGGAGCCCCGAGAACCGGACCCTGCGCTGAGACGTACTCCTCCTGCCACGTTTCCTTCTGTTAGTTTCCTAGCCTGGATAAAGAGCCGACCATGTTTAATCTGTAGCGGCCACCGTACAGCCCTTTCCGAATTGGGATTTTCTTGGAGAAGTTTTTCTAGCTACCTTTGAAAGTTGTGAGGAGGTTATGTCCTTTTAGGTTTTTTTCTTTTGTTTTGCATTTTTAAAAACAACTTCAGAGATAGACTTGAGAGGTCGGCAGAGCCACACCCCTCCTCTTTGCCCTTGAAATCTAGGAGAGCCTCGTCACGTGACGCCAGGGTCATCGTGGCCTCACCGGGCAACCGTCCTGGAGACGGACGCGGCTCTCGGCGGCATGAACTCCATCTACCCGCTGGCGGTGCCCAAGGGGCGCCGGCTCTGCTGTGAGGTGTGCGAAGCCCCGGCGGAGCGCGTGTGCGCGGCCTGTGCAGTCACCTATTACTGGTAGGCGCCTCGACTCCTTCTGGTCCACGCCCTCCTCCAGCGTCCTGCACCCAGCTGAGCGTGGTGCTGCCAGGGGCTCCTCAAGGCGGCATCCCCGTAGCCCAGCTCCCCTCAGGGGTGGACATTCTCCAACAGAAAACTAGGTCATTTAGGAGAATGACAGGTGTCAGCAGGCTGTGGGCAGCTGGGGGGACAGCTGCTGCCACTGTAGATGGGGCATTTCTGAACGTGAAGGAAGACGGACTCCGGAGGCTGTGAGGGAGGGACACAGCTGGCTGACCTGTGAGAAGGGGTGGTAAGCAGATCAATGCCCCTGTCTTTCAGCGACATCACCTGATCTTTGCTCTAGATTAAACCCTATTTGGGGGCTTGAAATGAAAAAAAAAAAAAACAAAAACAGAGTTTACTGACATCGACAAATGAATCCACAACTTAGACTCACTTGTTTATTTTTGTTTGTTTGTTTGTTTTGATTTGATTTATTTAAAACACCGAGAGGTCTTTCATCAGATGATTTTTCCTTCAATACCTGCCCAGGTGGGCTGGGCCAGGCTGAAGCCAATGAGGCAGGAACGCCACCCATGGCTCCCCACGTGGGTGGGTGCCGTCATCTACTGCCTACCCTGATAAAATTGCAGGGAGGGTGGGTTAGAAGCGGAGGAGCAGTACCCATACCTGCACTCCAGAGTGAAATCTGGGTGTCCCATGCAGTGTTGTGTTGCATCCATTTTGACCGCTAAAACACAATGTTACACTAGCGACAGTTACAACAAAGCTCTAATTACAATGAGAGGATTAGGCAACCGACTGACCAAGACTGACCGTGTTTACCAGAGTGTGGTCCCAGACAGCACATTTACAGAGTTTTTACAGGGGCACTTTACAGTGGCTTGCATAGTGTGGCAAGAGAGGAGGCACTGTGTGTTCCTGCCTATCTCAGCTGGGCATCCTGTGCCTGTCTCCCTTCCGGTCCAGCAGTCCTGTCAGGCATTGACAACATGCATGAGATAAGCGGACCTGGGAACTGGGAACCGAACGTGCCAAAGGTCACGTAGGAGGCTCTGCCTTCGAGCCTACACAGTCTCATACAGTTTCACAGCCAAGTAAGCAAAGCAGGAGTTACGAAAGAGAGAAGTATTGCAGTTAGCAATGAGCCAAGTTTACTGCATTTTGATTTCAGTTCTACAGTCTGCCCTGACTTGTTCATTCTGAAGAAGTCCTCATGACCCATGCTGTGAATGCGGGGGTGTGATGAGGGCCAGGACCTCTGAGGATGGAGGCATGCTCCCAGGGGCACTGTTTCCAGAAGGTCTCCCTGGGGAAGAAGTGTGTGGGCTGAGTCTTGAGACATCAGTAGGAGTCTGAAGTAGGACAGAATCATGCAGGAGGGTGGGGCATTCCTGGCATCCAGCGTCGTTGGGATAAAAGGTGAAAGAACAGGGTTTTCTGAGAAATCAGGGGGAAGACAGTAGTGGAGAGAGTGGCCAGTGATTTTTGGGCTCTATACCAGAGCTCATTAGCAGTTTATAAATAAGTTAAAACCAGCATTTAAAGAAAAGACATGACCTAGAATAAAAAGAATCAGGGTCACCCTGTTTGAACTGCTTCCCTTTTTACAGCTTTAAAATTTTTCATTTTATCTTTTAATATTATTTACTTAGTTGAGAGAGGTGGGCCTCCCATTAGAGAGGGGAAGGTTGAGATATGTTTAAAACAAATGTTTTAAAGTTGTTTTCTCTCTTGTGTATGCAAGGGGGGAAAGTCTGTCAAACTACATCAACACCCAGGGATGGGGGACAGTCTTTTGATGACGCCTCAGAGATCCCAGTGTGGGGAAGACTATTCTGAGGGTGTTCACTTGAGTTGTTTGGACAGCTCTGAGACATCATCAGCTTCATTGTACCAGGTTGAGAGAATCTTTCCAAGATCTGTTTGCTGACCAGACCCACCTTAGTGCATCTGAAGACCCAGGAGCATGCTGCAAAGCTTGGCTGGAGAATTGTCCATCCTATTCTGCTTTCCATCCTCTGACAAGGCACTCAGTGTCCTCTGCTGGCCTAGATGACCTGGCTGTCATATCCCCATTGTGCATCTGGGCATGCTGACAACTGCATAGGCATCAGCAACTGAGGAGTCTCAGTTCTTATACATGCACTCCAGGGACAGACCACATATATTGTGATGTTTCCCTGTGGCTTCAGTTTGAGTTCTACAGTCTCGTTGGGGAGTTCCCCAAGAAACCTCACCTGGGATGACCTTAAATTTGACTTGTATGTAGGGTCAGGTTTAGTCCATTACCTTCACCAGCCTACACATATACTGATGGTTGCAGTTGCCTGGTCAGTTCTGACCCAGCCCCAACTCTCATGCAAACTGATGAGTGCTGAAACCTAGCCCAGCCAGCCCACCACAGGCCCAGTCTTCCCATAGGTCAGTGGGTACCATGGCCAGGTCAGGGTGACCCTAGTAGCCCCAAAAGGTGTGTCCCTAACTCTGGTTTTGGCATGTGCTACATCCTAGCCGAGCCCATATACCATCTGGTTCTCATGCACACCTCTGGATGCTGCGGCTTAATCCAGCCTGCCCTGCCCCCCAGCCACAGCCCACATGTATGCCAACTGGTGCAGCAGGCTAGCCCAGCCTGGCCCACCCCCATCCCTTAGGTGAGCTGGCAGGTGTTGTGGTCCAACTCGGCCTGGCCTGCAGTCCTGTCCTGGCTCTTGTTTGTGCCAGTATGTGTTGCAGACTGCCCAGCCTGACCTGCCCCCAGACCTGGCCCACACATAGGCTGATGTGTGGCAGCCCACCCTGCCCTGCCCACTCTGTGCTGGTTTTTGTGCTCACCAGTAGGAGTTGCAGCCTAGTAGGAAAGTTCCCCTAACAGGCCTTGGATCTTTTGTGCCATTGGGTGCTGTGGTCCAACCTAACATGGTCATCTCCCAATCTTGTCACTCACAGGCAGGTACTGTGGCCTAGCCCAACAGTCCCACTTCCATTCTGGCTTTTACCAGTGGGTACTATAACACAGCTCACCTGGCCCACCCCCAGACTTCCCAGATCTAGCTTATATGTTTTGGTGGGTGCTGTGGCCAAGCCCAGCCTGTTTCATACCCATTCCTGGCTCTCAAGCACCAGCAGATACTTTGGCCTGGCCAGCCCTGGCTTTCACACTCAAGGGAGCTGTGACCTACTAGGGGAGTTCCCCAGTTCCCCTACGAGGCCCACTCCCAGGACCAGCTATCACATGTGCTGGTGGGTTCTATAGCCCTGCTTGTCATGGTCTGCCCTCAGTCCCAGTCTTTGTGTATGCTGGTGGGTGCTGCAGCCAAGCCCAGTCTGGCTAACTCCCAGCTGTGGCTCCTGTGAATGTCAGCTTACTTCTGTGACCCAGCCTGGCTCAGCCTGTTGCCATTCACCCAAACTTTTGAGTGCTGCGTTCCCACAGAGGCAAGCCTGCAAGTCCCCTTCAGAATCTGCCTGCCCTCAGATCATAGTCTCTCACATTCTGGTGGGTGCTGTGGCCCAGCCTGACATGGCCACCCCTGCTCTGACACTTGCAGGTAGGTACTGTGGCCTAGCGCACTCAGCATGCCCTCCAGCCCCAGCTTTTGCATGAGCCAGTGGGTAGTGGGCAATGTGACTTAGCCCAGCCCAGCCCAGGTCTCTTTTGTGAGTGGGTGACTTGGCCTGACCCAGGCATATCTACCATTTCCCTTCTCTGAGTCACCCATCTCAATTCTCTCACTTGCAAATGCAGTGGACTGGTCTGTAAAAACCCTCAGAAGGCATTCCTCCCCTCTCAAACATGTGCTCAATTACTCCCACTTTAACATGTCCCTAGAGCACCTTCCCTGGGCCATTTATAGCACCCCTGCTTAGGAGCTTTGGTGGTGCATCCTGCCCTGCCATTCTCTGCCTTTGCCACATATTAAAAAAAGAATAGACAACTATGTTGGCATACTGGTATAGTTAACACAAATTTGTCAATAAGCAGGTCCAGAATGCCTGATAGCTATTGGCTGCTTTTCTCCCAGAAGTATAAACTTGCATAGATACAAGGAAACCCAGGCAGTTGCTTACAACTGGGGTTGCTTAAAACAGTTTTTTAGTATTTTATGGGAATATGTGTGCATTATACTGGTACAATGATTTTGTTTTGTAGGTTGAGTCAAACATTTGAAAATCATTGTGATAAGTCATGGTGGAAATTTAAACAAAAAAGGACCAGCCCATAACATAGATGTATCCTGGGCAAAGTTATGAATGATTTTGTGCCAAGGTACTTTCTGTTGTGTGAAGGAAAGGTGATACGCAGTGGTGATTGGAAGGTGGACACTGAAAGCTGTGTAACTGAGGAAGGAGCTATTGTGGTAATCCAAGTGGAAAGTGATGCACCCTTTTCAGGTGGAGCAGGTGTGTCTCAGTGCTCTCACAGTCCTCCCTATGCCTTGCACCCCAGCACTTAGAACATGGACTGAGGCCCGTTGTTTAATTGCACCTCTTTGTAAGCTGTGTGCTACAGGAGAGTGGGGTGGCATCCACTCTTTCCTCCTTGGTGGCTTCATTGTGTCTGGAATGTGATTCAGAATGTGTAACTGCAACCACTGGCACTTACTGCCTCTCCATTGTGATTTTTCACTATGCTGCTCTCCAGAGTTGCAGAGGACTGGAGTTCTGATTTGCTTCCTCAGCTTCTTCACTTCTCCCTGAGCTGAGAACTACTCCTTCAACCATGAACCTCCGTGGTTTCCTTTTATCCTTCAACCATCAGTTTAAAAATCATTTCTCCAAAGAGGTCTAAACCCAATCTCAACACCCTTCTTTTTTTTCCTCTCTAGGAAATACTACTCCCCGCCCCCCCCGCCTCCTGCCAGACGTTTCCACTGCTTGTATATTTTGTGTGTTTACTTAACCAACATCTGTGTCCACACCTGCCATCTACCCAGTGCATATTTGCTGTGTGACCATCACTTGAGGGACTTTCGGTTACGTTGAAAGAG